CAAAATGACTTTGGTGAGATTTGAACCCGGGTCTCATGGCCAGGCGTTAAATGTTCTAACCACGTATGCATTCATTTAGCTTTATATCAGAAGTAAATAAAGACACATGTTAAGAATCATTTTTGGCAAAATACAATTTTTGTTCTAGTGATATATTCAAAAGTTTGTTTCTTTGTCATTTGTAATGTTAAATCTGGATTAGTCAGTGTCTTCTGGGCAGCAAGTTGTGCATACTTGAGGATTTGAACCAAACAGCTATGTTTGCCCTATCATTCACATCAATCTGGGCATATTCCCGCTTGTTCAGTATATATCACAGATTTTCTTTCTCCAATACAGCTTGGTTTTGATGCCTTTAGTTTTCATTGCAGTCACTTGTTATTCGTACACCGAATTGATATTTTCTCTGTAAATGCTATGTAGCCTGATATTTTATTTCTTCAGCTTACATTTTTATGATGATATTATGATGATGTTGGTGATAACAGCTCTCTACAATTCCCTTTCTTATGTAGCTCTTAATAAATTTTGTCTTTTAGATATCTCTCATAAACCTTGTTTTGTCATCCATTTACTCAAACTCATGAGGTCATGCTTGTTTTCTTCTACTTCTGTTGCCTTCAATCTTTCCTGTGAGTACCAAATTTTACAAGCCTTCTTCCTTCATTTTGTGCCTGAGAAATTTCAGTTATTTCTTTTTGATGTTAAATATAAGTGTCCTTTTTGTTTTCATTTCGTCTGAAACTTTGTCTTTTCTCACATCTCACACACAGCAGCCATTGAAACCAAGGACGTGTGTGCTGGAGCATGTCCTGCTGAAACAAGACACCTTTCTTTGGTTTTCCTCAATGTTTGGTCTTGACAGTCTTTTATAACTACCTCATCAAGTTGGCATAGTACTTTTTATTGATGGTGTGGCTTTTTTGATCATAGGCAATGCCTTTTATGTCCCCAAAAATATAGGTGATCACCTTCCCTGCAGATGAAACGACCATGGCCTTTTTTGGAGCAGGTGAGGAGGAGTGTTTTCATTGCATGGATTGTATTTTTGTCTCTGGCTTAAAGTGATGAACCAAACACTCATCGTAGGTTAGGAAACATTCAAGGAAACCAGCTGGATCTGCCTCAAAAAATGTCAGATTTTCTCATGAAGTGATCAACCTGGTCTACTTTTGATCAGGTGTCAGAAGATTTGGCATCCACCAAGCAGAAACCTTCATCATGCCAAGTTCATTGTGCAGAATATTCTCAATTCTCACGGGATATGTTAATAGCCTTGACTATTTGATTTAGAGTCAATTGCCTGTCATATAGTGAACACAATCAATGTTTTCTTGAGTGGTGGTAGTTGCAGGATGCCCTGATCTTGAGTCATGTTCAAGACTCTCCCTTCCCCTTCTAAATTCGACTGCCAACTTTTACACTGTTGATAAAGCTGAAGCGCCATTCTCTAATGTAGCAACCATTTCAGCATGAATGTTCTCCGCAGGTACTTGTTAACACCATAACAAATTTTATCCATTTTCAAGAGAGATCACTGCTACTTACTTTTGAAGTCTTCTTTGAAGAGTCAGATGTTAGTTTACCTGAAAATAAACAATGCAGTTATAAATAAGGAGGACACATGACACAGTGGATAAAGGCATTAGTTAGATCCAGTGACAGGAACCAAAGAGTGTTAAGGCGATGGAGAACTTGGAGAGGGGAATTAACAGGAGATAACCGATAACTGACATCCATTAGACATGGCATGTGGAACTAGAACAGTCTACCCCAGTGAGCAAAATAAAGGGTTCAGTTTGACATTCCAACCAACTGAAGAAGGCCGGAGTGTACAACTGCCGAAACATTGTAATAAATATGGTGACAAATATGAGGACAATAGTTCAAATAATGTAAATACTGTAAATAAGAAGACTTGAAATTAATGCATGCAAGATTTCCTAGCTCTCACATGACTCCTTCATAGCCAGCCTGTCAGCCCACCCTCATAGGTAATGCAAATCTTGCTGTATTAAGATAGTCTCCTGTGGACAAACTGGAAGCAACATATGTTGATTATAGAAGCAGTTTCCCTGATGAAAAAAGTGATACAGGTTCACTTCGTGTTGGGAGGCATATTTTTTCTTTAGCAAGACTTCTTAATCTAGGCCAGTTGTTATTAAGTTCAATTTTCAAGAAAATAAAAAATAGGGACAGCAACTCAAATATGAATAACCACTAAAAATAGCATTTATAGAAATTATATAATGTATGTATGTGTGTGTGTGTGTGTGCACGCATTGGGATAAAATACAGATCAGAATCTGACAGAATGACAGGATAAAAAAACAAATAGGAAACATTTATCAATCTAACATGTTTCACTCTTATTAAAGCTTCATCGGAGAATGAAATATGGAGAAAAAAGAAATTCTGGTATTTTTATTTCTGTTTTTTGATTTTCATTCGTTAATAAGACTTCACATGCATTTGACTTTTTAAAACATGTTAGTATAGTTTATAGCATTCTTAATTCAAGGGGAGATGATGCATCATTTTGTAATCTCAAGAAATTAACAGATTTCAAGCCTAACTAAAATATTACTTTATGTATATAAGTGTATCATAATTCTAGTTTTTCTATGTAGGATTCAGATGATCATGTATATTCAGAAAAAATGCAGTTCTTTACAGTTTGGTTACAATAATGAAGCTAACAAGTATAGATTCTTAGAAGAGATGTGCATTTCTTAGTTGTGAATCTTGAAAGATGTGTATTCCTTAAATATCTAATTTGAACCTTCCTTTATCAAGATGGTATCTCATTGCCAAATTGGTAATAGCAAGCTTCTGCTATAGAAGAGATTTTCCTAATGAATAAAGGGACACAGGTTCAATTCCTTTGGGTTGCACAGTTTTTCTTAAGTTGGACTTGTTTATCTAGGCTGGCTGTTATTAATTTCACTGCTTAAGAAAACAAAAAAAAAACATGATAGGAACTCAAACATATGTGCCCATTAAAATTTTTTTACAGTAATAAGAAATATATGTGGTGGGGGTGGGGTTCCTTTTTTGGTGGGGAATGGGTAAATAAAGGTATGACAAGTTCAAAAACCCATATTCTAACTCTGAGTTTTGCAGATAGAAGTTTGATCTTCATTAGAAATTATATCTATTTTCGTGCATGAAAAAAAAGTTAATTTCTGATGTAAACTTTAAATTTGTTCTTTCTTAAGGGTAAATTTAAGTCTGACAATAAGTCTTTGAACTTAGATTTTCCTTGATTTATTTACTATTAATACTACAGTTGACAGGTATTTTAATTTTTATATTTGTGGCATATATAACATATTCATTTTATATATATATATATATATATATATATATATATATATAAAGAAATATAGTCTTAAGGTGTGTTATATTTATGGGATAAAGTGCTCAATATCAGAGATAGAGCGTGTGTAAATATAAAAGTGAACATAGAAGTCAACACTTAGAAACGACAGTCTGTTTCATGCTATATGCAATGAAACAGCCTGTCGATTGTGTTGATTTATGTTCACTTTTTATATTTATATATATATATATATATATATATATATATATATATATATATATATATATATATATATATAAAAAAGTAATGGACATTTTATTTACATATTGATCCGACAGGCTTTTAGCATTTAAATGTTATTTCTAGTGGATATCCATATTTAAGTAGATCATCCATTTTTATTTTTAAACAGTATATTCATTATTGCCTACTAACCTGAATATTCAAGTAATCTTATTAGAGAAAAAATTATATGCCCTCTGGATCAAACAATGGTTTCTCCCACCAAGGGGGATGCATTTTTAAATCCAGCCAGAGAGCACATTTTTCTTTAATAAAATTTCTTGAATATTCAGGCCAGTAGATGATAATAAATATACTATTTAAAAATAAAAACACAGCCTCTGCTCAAATATAGGTATCCACTAAAAATAACATTTAAGTCATAAAATATATGGTTTGTAATTAAATGGCAAAAAGGAAATTATGTGATGTGTTTTTTTTGCTTCAAAAAAACTTCTGACTAATTTTTTATTGATGGGATCATATATATATATATATATATATATATATATATATATATATATATATATATATATATATATATGATGTAGGGAAGAAAATACAACAAACATCAGTTATAGTTGTATATTGAGAGATATACCGAAGGTGCAGGGACACTTTATATTATATATTTAAATTTCAAATTTTTTCATCTCCGATGTGTGTAGATGTATGACTGAGCCAATTTCATTCAGCTTCTAACTGCTTTTGTTTTCAATTGTATTTCTGTTTTCAAATATTCCACACTGACAGAGGAGTCAGTCAGTCAGTTAAGTGCCTTACAAGATACAGGCTTGGGCAATCATGTTTCTTTAGATTCATAACTGACTTGGCAGAAGATTTTCTTGCAGTAGTTTGCCATTTCTTTCACCAACAGACTGGTTGCCAACCAAGCATCTAAGACTCAGTCTGTCCTGCTATTGAACCCATAGCTTGGGGGAGTAGAGATGGATTCATACGTTTCCCAAGAGTATTTGTGCATAAGTGATTGCAATGAACCTAACTGGAAGGTGAACTCACCTCTCCAGTTTCTCATTTCAAGTCATTTATGAGTAGTTTTATCAAAAATTGTGGCTTGCTGTATGTACCTGGATGTGAATTTACTGTAGAAGACCATGTACTTTCTATTTAATTTTGTCATTCAATTACCCACTGTTAGCCTGACATATAGTGCTTATATGTATATATATATATATATATATATATATATATATATATATATATATAAAAGAAAGAAAGAATATGCATAAGTAGATAGTTATGTATATGTGTGTGTGTGTGTTTGCTTGTATATATGAATATGTGAGCATATGAGTAAGTGTATAGAATATGTGTGAGAGAAGATGAGAAAATGAGTAGGTGGGTTATTTTTCATGGATGGTCTAGATGAAATCAAATGAGGCCAGAAGATGATGAACGAGGGAGGAATGATGAGGAGAAAGGCGATAACAAAACTTTTGTTGGTTTTTATTTTATATTTTATTTTATTTTATTTTTTTTTGTGCCTGGACACAGACCAGTCACAGGCTCTAATCCCACGAGAGAAATTAGTTTAGCCTAAGGACTTGTTTCTAGTTTTCCCCAGACATCTCAAACTCCAGCTGACTTTTATTTCCACTTCTCATTTTCATTCTTTTTCCTATAACACTTTAAATAGGCTTCCAAGCTTTTGACAAGCCAACAAATACAAGATATTTTTCATTCTCTCCATTTTTATATTGTCTTCACTTTGTATCTATTTTAGAGCTTCTTGGTACCGCGCTCTCAGATTCATTTCTTTTTCATCAGTTTCGCATCACTTTCATTCTTTCTTTCTTTTACATCGCCATCTTTTCTTTCCTTTCCCTTTATTTTTTCTTCTTCTTCCTCATCAACTATCTTTCTGCATTTTATTCTCCCACCTACATTTTCTCTATTCTTCATTTTCTTTTGTTTGTGATTACCTATCATTTCTGGTTCCCACTGTTTCTCTGTTTTCTCTCTCCTTTGTTTTCTTTCTCACACTCTCTCTTCTTTTGTTATGATTCTCTCTCTTCTCTTGTTATCATCCTCTCTCTCTCTTCTCGTCCCCTCTCTCTCTCTTCTCATCATCATCCCCTCTCTCTCTCTTTTCTTGTGTTGTCATTCTTTCTCTCTTGTCATCATCCTGTCTTCACTTATCATCGCCTTGTCTTCACTTGTCCTCATCCCCTCTTTGTGTTGTTCCTTTGCTCTTGTTGTAGTTCTCTCTCCTCTTGTCGTCATTCTAGCTCTCTCTCTCTCTCTCTTGTCACAGGACTCTCTTGTCTTGGGTCTCTCTTGTCATTGTTTTCTCTCTCCTCTTGTTCTCTCTCTCTCGTCATCATCCTCTCTTTCTTACACACACTCTACTCAGCTTATTTTTCTTTCCTCTTTTTATTCTCTTCTCTTTTACAACTTCCATGTTTGAGTTTCAAAACAAAGAAAAGAATACTCTACTGTTATGCAATATCACACTTTCTATATGGTAGGGAATGCTGAACAATTTCCTCACAAATGACAAGAAAATGTGAGGCAACAGAAATGTAGTTCTACAGAAAGATGCCAAAAATATCATGTATGGAACATGTGAGCAATAAAGAATATTTAAAGAAAATAGAAACAAAAAGGATATACTTAAAATCAGTTGAAATCTCTAGGACAGATACTAAGGAAAGAATGCTTGGAAAATTTGACATTCATATTGAAAGCAAGTGTGACAGATGAAATAGTGAGTAACTTAGCTAACAGGCTTGTTTTGATAGTATTACAAATGTGGGATGATAGTATGAAGACAAATATTGCTGCGTGATGTAAAGGAAATTGTGAAGATCCATGATCACATACATTCTGAAGAGGACATGGCATATACCAGAAATGTTTGACTAACTTTTGCTCTTAACAATAATTAATACACTTCATAAAATGCTTTACAAGAACTTACAGTCGAAAAAAGAAATTCATAGAAGCAATGAACAAGTTCCTGTTATCAATAACTCAATCAGCAAAAATATATTTCTCCCTGCACCCCAGTAACCTGGAGCAACATAATCTTCACTTATTATAGTAACTTGTTAGATTTGCATATAAATTTTATACACAAATTGAAACAAGTTATGGGACAGTTTTTTTTTTTTTAATTTTATTTTTTTCAAATTTATTTTAAATTTATTTGATTCTCTTTTTCATTTTTCTCTTTTAAATGAAACATTTTTAATTTTTCTTACTTCTCCAATTTTTAATATTTTGAATATTTCTTTTATTTTTCTCTACACATTCTTCAAAAGTCTTAATTTTTCAAATCTTCCTTTTTTTTTTTGTTTGCCTCATGTATGAAGTACTTAGCTCTTAGTTGGTACCAGTAGTTGTTGCTCAAACCCAGTTACTCTTTTATATCAAATACAAGGGCCCTATGGAATAGTCATGATATTTTATTTTTTTAATCATTTCACTCCAAGCAAGGCAATAAGGCTAATCATGCACAAAGGGTTACTGAGTGTAAGAGAATATGAGAAAAACTACTATTAAGGAGAGAGGACAATAAAAGAACAAGAATTAATATGACAGAAGGTAATGATTGATAATGCATTTAAATTTTTGAAGATCAAAGTTGACTGGGAAGCAAGAAGCCAGAAGATAGTTCCACAAACAAGAAGTGCAAGAAAAGAAACTATTATAAATTTATATTAATTATATAAATTATGGTTATATCTAGCCATTTCAACTGTGAAATGATGAGACCTAACTGCCAATCTAGTACTACACTTAAATTCATAAAGTTTAATTACCATAGAGGAAATTTCATCAGAACAGTTACCATGAAAGTATTTATAGAAAAAGCTCATGAAAACTGTTACAGTGATGGGAAATTAACTGTAGCTGAGATGCCAGGTCAGGACCAATAACATTGCAGATTCTTTAGATTTTATCAAGAATCTCTAAAAATATAGCAGGAATACCAGATCGTATGTGGCAGTAATATTCAAAGCAAGAAAAGAAAATATGAATTTTCAGTTTATAAAATTAGCATATCAGCACAAATAAACTTTCTGCCAGTGATTTGTTTTTTTTATGTGAGTTTAATAAACATGGAAGAAAATAATCATGCCAGAAAGAGAATTATTTGAAAAAAAAATTATCATTGTGCCATAATTGGCAAATTGGAGGAAATCATTTTATCATACCAGCACTTGTATTTAGTAAACTAGAATAAAAAGCCATAACTTGAAATGCTGATTTTGAAGGCAAGCATACTATCCTTAGTTTTAGGATCAAAATAACTTGATCTTTCTAACTTGCACTCATCCATTTAGCCTTGTACCTCACTTAGATAAACTTAGTAGATATCACATCTGACTTTGTTTTTGCCACCACTAACATTGTTTCCTCTACCACTGCTGCCATCACCATTATCTTTTCCGTTACTCTTCTCCTCATTGTTTTAACCTTTTACATTAACTTTCTTCTTTAGCTGCATTTTTTTTGTTCATATTGTTTTTCTCTGAACACCTTTTTCTTTCCCTCTTTTCATTTAAAAACATGTAAAAGAGAAAATTATAGAGAAAAGTAAAATGAAGACCTTTGAAGTCCTTTGTGTCCAATGACAAAAAAAAAGATGAAGACCCATTCATCACAAGACAGAAAAATACCAAAAAAACAATAAACACCAAAATAATAAAAACAAAATGTTGATAATAATAATAAAAGAAAAAAAAATGGATCCCACCCATTATACATTAACCATCCACCTTATTCACCCCTTCTCAGATTCAAACCACTCCCTTGGTCACCTCCTCACTACCAACCACTTAACAGACCTTAACCAACCATTACAAATGTCCTGTCCACTATTGCTATATCTTTTACTAGAATTACGTCAACTAACTTAGCCAAAAGGACCTCTGGGGGAATGCTCCTTGGCCTCAGGGCTTAGTTGGGGTGCCATCAAGACACCAGGGCCACTTACATTTCTTAAGGCTTCTAGAAAATTCCATTGACCACCCATGATAGGTTGAAGCTTTCATTTGTCAATGCCTGAGGCTAACGGCACCAATACCTTTTATAATGGATAAAATCACCAGTGCTGAAATTAATTCTTGATTCCTGAATATAGGGCATGGTGCAATGTTGACAAGTATTAAGGAAGATAACGGTGGACAGGAAAAGATTTAAAAAAAAAAGAAATGAAGGCCAGGAAGAATTGAGAGAAAGAAGAAGAAAAAATAAATGATTCTGTACGCAAAGAAAAAACAGGAAAAAGCAATGGATAATATGGTTCTGATGAGGATTGTTTTTTGTACAATTCTAATATGTTTTGGTTGGTCAATCAGTATAATTGTTTACATGTTTGCTTATTAGATTCTGCATCTTATTTAAATCTTTGTTGATATTTTTTGTGTACTTTCTTGATATGGAATATATATATATATATATATATGAACTATTTTGTCACTTTAGGGTTTTTATTGTCAGGTTTTATGCTTTTTTTTTATTTCATGTTTTTTTTTCTGTCTGTCTTTCTGGTGTTTTATTGTTTAGTGATTTTTTTTTTCACCCCCTCAAACTTTTCCTTTTTCACCTTTTTGTCATTCTGCTTTGTTTAACAATTATTCCTTATTTTTATAGTTTTATTTTTCTTTCTGCCATGATTTTTTCCTCCTTTCTTCATATATTGTTGTTTTAAAATCTTTAAAATTTTATAGCTTTTGTCTTATTTCATGATTACATGTTCATCCATCTTATTTTCTGCTGCAGTTTCTTCCTATTTGCATGCATTTTTGAGTGAATGTGTATGATACCAACTCATTTGACTCTGTAATACAGTTGAAATCAACCAAAAAGTTATAAAGTTTTACATAGAACAAGAATGGTTATTTCATAATATTAGTTTTAGAGAGAATCCTGAATGTTTTGAGTGGGCCAAGATCAAGTTAGAGTGGCTATTAAGGTCTGGAATGGAGCGGTAAACTGGTGCAGATGAGAGGGTCAATGTACATTGTCTTGGATGGCAGGAATCTAAAAAGACAATTTGAACAATGAACAGGTATGGCTTCCTTGTTGGCAATTCAGGTTTAATCTTCAGTTTATCATGATCACATGTATCAAATTGGTGCACAATGCATTTTGAAGGTCTTTTTTAATGTTTTTTTTTTCATTGAGACAGTTGATTGGATGAGAACTTCTTTTTCGGAGAAAATGTTAGAAAATATATTTTTTTTCTATTGTTAGCTCTCACTTGTAATTCGTTCGTGTCTGTTTCTTTCTTTAATTTTTTGCAAATTTTCATTCATGACATGTAATCAGTTCAATGGTTTTCCGTTCCTTTTTTTTTTTTAAATATAAAATCTGCAAACCGTTTGGCATGTTCTACTTTCTTGTTGTGCACTTTTAACACCTAACTGTTATTGTATACTTTATTTTATTTATCATCTGAACCTTGCCTGAATAAAGTACTACCAAGAAAAACATCTTAACAGAAATCTTTCACCTTGTTAATCTGAATTAGATTTCTTGAAAATGAATTTAGCAACATATGAAAGTACTCAGAAAGAAAATAATATGATATAAAAATAAATATGAACTTTGGCAAATTTAACAATAATACGGAGCACAGAATTTGGAAATTTGAAAAAAAAAAAAAAAACTCTTATAGACAGAACTTGTCCATATTATTTAACCCAAAATGTTCAAGAGAATTATTGCTGCTGCAACACACACACACACACACACACACACACACACACACACATATATATATATATATATATATATATATATATATATATATGGAGAGAGAGAGAGATAATATTAGTGGTAAATATACATATGCAAAATATATAAATATATATACATATATACTTGTATAAAAAAAATAATTCCAAGAGGATAGAATCCAGGTAGAACTCAATGTCCAGGACAGAGTAAGGATATATTAAAAAGGCTTAAACACTAATATTCCATGGTCATAATTTATTCCATTGGAATCGTAAATACGATCCAATTCATCAGACCTACAAATTCAAACAGAAAAAAGAAAACACAGAAAAAAAATGGAATAAATTATGACCATGGAATATTAGTGTTTAAACCTTTTTAATATATATATATATATATATATATATATATATAAATATTTGGAAAATAATACTTAGTTCTTGCCAATGCAGTTCATCATTTGAATTTTTTTTTTTTGAATAAAATAGATGATTGGAAAATAGCAAAAAAAAAAAAAAAAGTAAAAGTTACTAATATCCAAACAAAAGCTTACACAGAAGTGTCTTATGTTTTTTTTTTTAATTTTATGTAACTCCACAATGTTTTGCTTATCATCATTTGCCTTCATAGTCAAATGAAGAAACATCTCAACAAGGACTAAGTACTATTTTCTGACTGTCTAGTTTATTCAATTTGTCTTCTCTACAGATTTATTTTTGAGAAATTTACACACACACACACACACACACACACACACACACACACACACACATATATATATATATATATATATATATAAATATATAAATAATAAAAAAAGGCTTAAACACTAATAATCCATGGTCATAATTTATTCCATTGGAATCGTAAATATGATCCAAATCATATATATATATATATATATATATATATATATATATATATAAAAACACATGCAATGACCCCCATACAATTTTGATATGCAATTTATGATCAAGGCATATATTTCAAGTTCTCAAAATCTACAGTTTATACAATCTTTATACAAAAAAAATCTTTAATCATTAAATATTTTTATCTATAGATTTATTTTATCCTCTCTCCACAAAATTGATTTCAGCATCATTCAAAAAATAAATTCTTAAAAAAAAAAACACCATGTCTCACACAATTCCTATATGAAATATCCAATTTTTACAAATCTCTGAACTGACAATTGATATGCTGTTAAGACAGAACAACCAATCAATCAAATTCCTATATTAAAACTTTCAAAATATACAGTTTACACAATAATGTTAACACCAAAAATCATTTTGCCTTATGAAAATGAAGTATTTTTTTTATCAATTTATTTATTTTACTCTCTTTTAACTTAAATGATCCATAAGGGTATTGATATGCCACAAAATCAATAAATCAGTATTATATTTTTCAAAGATTAAGACTAAACCAAATAAACTTTGGTATAAGCTCATAGTAAAAGAGTGCCTATTATGAGACCATAAACTCTTGTTTTTATGCAGTATCTTTTGATAACTTTTTTTCGTTTAATGATTTAAATTCATGAAAATATTCACTTATATAACAATACAAAAGTTGAAAAAAAAAACACCTATAGTAACTTAATGGAAATGTTTTTGAATCTTTGAGATGAGGAATTATTGTACCCAAATCTATTCAAACTGTTATTTTTATACTGACTGATATTTTTTTGCTTTATTCCCCACCTTTTGACATCTACTTGTCATATTTATTTTCTGTTAATTTTGCATATTCCAGTCAGTTAAATATGGAGAGTCTAACATGACTATATAGAAATATGTGATGACCTACAAGTTCAAATAATAAAGCAAAATTCCAAAATAATAGATAATTAAAAACTTTAAAGAGCTTTCAAGGTGATGTCAGTTAAGAAATAATCACATTTGATTGCATCTTTCTACTTTGCATGCTCGTAGTTGTTTCATAACAGTTTGTACATCTATTATTTCATTGCTTTTTTAATTTTTCATTGTGATTTTTTGTTCACCCAATCAAAGGCACAAGAATCACATAAGGTAGAGGGTTACTGAAAGAGGTTCTTGTATGAGCAGTAAGAGGCACAGTTTATGTGGAAAAGATAACAATTAACCTCTAGACTTGAAGAGGTTAAAATTGCAGTGGTCTGGAAAGCATTCTCACAGGAGTCAGTTCCACAAAGCAGCAGTGTGAAGAAAGAAGCTGTTCAAGTAGAAAAGGAAGGAGATAATACTGAAAAATATTCTCTAAGATAAATGCTTTTTTTTTTCATTATTAAGCAGCAGACTTACTCATGTACCTACATTATATATATATATATATATATATATATGTGTGTGTGTGTGTAGGAGGTATTTTAATGATCAGTACTACAGACAGAATCAACAAGTTTGTTTCAAATTTCATTTGAATCTGTTTTGATTATGTCATGATAATGCTATCTGAAAAGGCATAAATCTGTCTTCCTAGGATTAAATAGTAAGGTAGACGGGACTCCTTGCCTTGAGTGGCAGCCAGTCTGAGCAAATGAAAATTCTGAATTTAAACCATGTTGTTCATATGCATAGGCAGTCTTGCAGTTTAATTCTAAACTCAACTGATGGAACATCATATGTTGGAATTGACATGAAAGTCTATCACATATATATATATATATATATATATATATATATATATATATATATATATATATATATATGGGTACAAGTTTCATTAAAAGTGACTGACATGGTGTATGCCTGTGTGCTTTTCAGCTATAGTTTTAGCCATTATCAAAGATGAATTTTATTTTTAACTTTAACTGAATGTATGGATTGTTTTATGTATGTATCTAGAGTTATAGGAATGTTTTATTTTCCAAACATGGTCAGCACATTGTGGCCGTATTCATATTTGATATTATTGCATGTTGGCTTCCATTATTTGATGGAAACATGGAAGGCACTGCCAGATTGAGCTCTCAACTGATACTGATTAGGTTTGATGTTGCTTAACTTTGGTGAAATGGTGTTAGCCCTGGTGTTTTTAATTTTAGTCATATTATTTAAATTTGGTTTTATCCAACCACAATACATTCTGCCACTTATATTAAATGAGTTTTGCTTTTATTCTGCTACCTTCATGAAAAAATTCTGGTCTAGAAAGACACTATGTTCTTCTAATAACGCTTCCTCCAATTACAGAAACTTTTTTACAGCGCTCAAAGGCAAATTCAAGTAATTTCAGTAATTTTTTATAGCCAATTTATTGTGCTTTTTAACAATGTTATCTTAGACTAAAATGAAACTGAAATGATTCAGTTGGTGGAATAAGTAGTCTGATTTGTTATTAAAACAAAAATAATTAACTTATTTAAACAATTTTTACACCCTGAAAAACTGAAATACAATTCTGAAGAGACCAGATTTACTGTTGGAAATCAAAGCTGGTGCAATAAGTTAAAAAAAAAAAAAAAATTAAGCTCCATGTTGCACTTGGAACCATTTGTCATTACTGGAAATTTTTTCATTACAAATATCTTACTTGATGTAAAAACTCTGTAGATCTCAAATGCCATGAATTTTCTCCAGCCATGATGAAAAGTTGTACTCTGAATGAGGCTTGTCTTTCCTTGAATATCTATTGTGATGCAAACTCATCCTGGACTAAGTGGAACTGGTGTATAAGTCCATCAGTAAAACTGTTCAGTTCCTTGTGTCACTCCAGAAAGTACCCAGCTCCTCTTGCCATGCTCTCTCTTCTCTCTCTTTACAAAAGTCAGATCAGATCAAAAATGGAATATTACTGCCAAATCTTCACTTTCTAACCTTCACAGTTCTAAATGCTTATGCAGCCTTTTGGGTAATGAATTATTCTAAACCCTATAGCCCTTTTCCCCACAGACAAAACATTGCAAGCCTATCACTATTCTTTCATAGCAAATGTCCTATTCTGTATGACCAATTCAAACACATCATGTCATGTACACAGGATAAAATCATCCTCATTACCTTTGTATTCCATTTTTAAGGATGAAGTTTTGCTCAGACACCTTTTTTCTAAGAACTGCTCCTTTGTAGCATCTTCTTGAGAGTTTGTTTCACAATCTTAATCTCTTCAAATTTAGGACCAACCATTATGTATCCCCATTCTTCTTACTGCGATAAAACCCCATTCAATAAACCTCTACCTTGAGTTGTTCTTAGGTCTTCAATTCAATGAACAATTGAGTAAGGTATCTAAGTAATATCCAATTTTTAAGGTTATTCTCATGGAGTAGTTGTAGATTTTGTTTTTTTGTAACCTACTGTATTTTGTTGACTAGAGCATTTGAAAGGAGTGCCCAATATGCAAATACTTCCCCAGTGACTGAAATTAAAATATCTTCATGGAAATGACATAGCTTTTTAAATGACTGCAGTCTGAAGTCAAATCGTGACTTTACTTTTAAATTTAATAAAAGATAAAAGGATTTTCTTTATGGCAAATGACTCCACCTCCCCCAAGTACCTTTCTTTTTCACTATTTTGCCTGTTAAGCATAAAAAAAGAAATTGTCACTGAAGGTCCAAAAATATAGAAAATATAGGTAAAAATTTTCTGAAAAG